AAGTGAAGTTGGGTTTGACATTTTTATATCAAGGATTTTACTTTAGCAAAACAAAAAAAATACTCAATTATAAATAATAGTAATTTTATATAATTTATTATTTTAACACTTTTAATATCATTTAACAAAAATTAAGTTGTCTAAAAATCGGGAAATCATGAGTTTATAAAATAAATTTCCGTTTTATTACAGTGTTATTCACTGGGTTTACGATTCCCACCATTTTCAATAATTATTAAGTCAGTTTATTAATTATTTAGTCAAAAAAAATTATTTCGTCACATATTTTAATTAAACACCACCTACAATTATTAGTCCAGCATAAATGATAAATAGACTATACAAAAAAATATTAATACTATCACAAATAATTTCAATATTATAATTTTTATATTTCATTCACAAAAATAAATAGACGCACCACAAACTTATATGTTCACGCCATTTAGAATTATTAAGGTTTTTTCTGAATTATTTTACTTTCAACAACAAAAAAATAAAAATATTTAAACCAAAAAATATTATTTCTTTATAAAATATTATAAAAAATAATTAAAGTGAAATTTGTTTAAAGATCCTCTCGAGCATACACTTTTCTCCAAACTTCATTTCTACATCTTTGCATTGTAGCATTAACTTCATGTACTTGCAATTCTTCAAAACTTTCTTTAATTTGAGTGACGAGATTTTCAAGGTCAACCCACTCTTTGATTTTATCTTCGACTCTTCTCTTCCAGAAACCAAAGACATTCTCTATTGGGTTCATTTTTGGTGAGTAAGCTGCATTGAAGACCACGCAATGGTTTGTATTTTCGATTATATCTTCCATGTCTTTGTGTATTTTACAGTTATCGCACCAAAAAACCACCCGTATTCCCGCCTCGTCATATCTTGAAATAAGTCTTTTGAAGTATGCATTGTTAACCCGTTTATCGTTACAACCATAAACCAAGTCACAATAAGACATTCCTCCACTATCAATCGCTGTAGTGCAATAAAGACGCATTCCGTTTTTTAATTTTGTCAAGAAACACTTCTGCCCAACCTCGCTCCACCCATACACTGATGTACATACGATTGTCCAGGCGGTTTCATCCACACAAACCCATGTATATCCTGCGTTCAGTTTCCCGTTTAATTCATTGACAGCTGCGATGTGTTTGTCTTTGTTTTCCTCTTTGTTTGCGTTTGGCCCTCTATTAGTTACTCTCTTAAAGGAAAGAGAAGGAAAATACTTGAATTCTTCTCCTTTGATTTGTCCTTTGACCATTCTTAAAAAGGTTTATTCGAATGGAACGGCCATTTCTGCTTCTAATAACGCTTCTTCAAATAGGTTGTGGTTAGTTTCACCTTTTTTCAAACGCCTATATCTTTCCGTTGATGTCAAAAGAGCAGAGACATCTAAAAACTCTACATCCTCCATGTTTTTGATCCCTTCAACTATGACAACTTCAACCATTTTCATTCTGGTTTTCTCAATGGAAGATGTCGCCGAATTTTTAAGATGCTGCTTAACAAGGTGAATGAAAGGAGTAATGCGGCTTTTGCGGTTGTAATGGTTCAAAGGATATATACTTTCCCCTTTCCTCAACTTCGTCAACAAAGCGGTGCAGTTGTGAATAGGTATTCCAATGGTCTGTGAAAAAATCTTCTGATTTCTGGTCAGGTTTCTTCCTAAACTCTTCAACAAGCCGTTGCTTGAGCTTCAAACCAATTTTGGTGTATTGGTGCTTTCGGTGTTCTGAATGTTCTGGCCCAAATCTCTTTGGTCTTCATCTTGGATTTGGTTGTATTGGAGGCGGGATGAATGGTTGGGTTGCAAATGATTGAAGCGGGGTACCAGGTAGAGGTGTAGGCGTTAAATGTATATAGTCAGCCCGTGCACCTGGGTCTGTGATATCAACATAATCCGCTGATGCTCGGTTCATTGTTTTTTATAGTTTTAATGTTTGGTTTTTTATTTTTTTGTTGTTGAAAGTAAAATAATTCAGAAAAAACCTTAATAATTCTAAATGGCGTGAACATATAAGTTTGTGGTGCGTCTATTTATTTTTGTGAATGAAATATAAAAATTATAATATTGAAATTATTTGTGATAGTATTAATATTTTTTTGTATTGTCTATTTATTAATTATGCCGGACTAATAACTGTAGGCGGTGTTTAATTAAAATAAGTGACGAAATAATTTATTTTTTTGACTAAATAATTAATAAACTGACTTAATAATTATTGAAAATGGTGGGAATCGTAAACCCAGTGAATAA